CACCTCCTCCCGGATTACGCCTGATTCCCTGCTACCTTTCGTTCACCCCCCTCCTCTCTCAAGTTTTGTCATGTGTTCAATATTTTCAGTGTCCGAAGTCAGTATGGCGGACCAACCACCCTCAAACCCTTCCCATTAGCCCTGGTTGGCTCGAGCAAGATGGACCAAAGCTCAGACCAGTAGATTTTCGGGGCCATCCCCTCTGAGGTTTCAACGCAGCCTTGGGCGCCTGTGCAGCACCCCAGGCCATGGCCTGGCAGGCTGCCATGTGGCTTCTTGAGGAGATGGCGATGCATCGAGTGACGCCAGATGTGAAGAGCCAGGACCTTAGGACACCCGTAACTTGTATAATATAGAGTTATCTCATAATATATTTTCATTTGAAAGGTAAACCGTCATGTCCCCCGGTCGTGGTCTCTTGCTCTTCTTAGATGGCCCGGCCACGACTCCTGTTGTGCTGCGTGATTTAGGTTCAATTGGCCTTTGAACATGGCGGTTTTTGTATTGAAGACTCGCAAGACTCAAGACTTAAGATTTGTTGCTTGCTGGCTCCAAGAGCTCTAAAGATGACCTGAGCTCAAACAAACAGACACACAAACCCACGCACACACACACACAATGACATGATACTCAGGCATCACTGGTGCTGTTCGTAGCTGCAGCGGTCCGGATACCCCAGAGTCAATCCAGAATGAGTTTGCATGGGTGTTTTTTCGGTACAATTTGAGGTGCTCAGTGGCAGCAGGTCTTGAACCTCTCGGAGAAAGCGGAGAAGGATGCCATCCTCCAGATACATGCCAGGAAACCCGGGGATTTCAACGCTGAAACCTCCCATCGAGGGGAAGTAGCTCAAGGTAGGTTGGTGGCTACCTGGTCTTCCAAAGCAGCAGAACAGGAAAAACATGAAAAAACCTGATCCATTGGTATGGTGATGTCTGGCATTTATCCGGCAAGACCAAGCGAGGTACCCCTGAGTCCCTGCAGGTTTCCCCGCTCAGATTGGGGGTTCAGCATGTTTCGGACAAGGCAAACATGCTTAAAACCGCTTGCACTGTGGGCTTGACGTGTTACGTTATCATGTAAAATCTATATATAGCATGTTATTGGTGGTGACCGTACTGCCATGACAAGTTCGATGTATTGGAAATCTACCAAGCGCAGCGCGACATCTATGAGTCTTGCATGAGTTGAACTCTGGCCGACACTGCACCACGCTGTGAAGTTGACTGAGCCTGCGGACGAGCCGCCCAGATTTTTCACAGCTTTGTTTTGTGCCGACGCCCAGGTTCTTTCTCAGGTTCACAACCACAATTGGCCTTTAGCGCTTCATCTTCTCCAAGGCTTCCGCAGCTCGTGAAGAGCGGTGCCGAAACTCAGTCATCCGGTAGGCAGCGACGCAGAGCTTGGGGGCAGTGCAGCTGGCTGTTCCCGAGCTGTGGCCATCGCGGCCGGGGGGCACAGCGAACGTTTCAGATTCCAGTTAGGCTTGCCCTTAGGCTGGGAGACCTTAGCTTAAGACTACACTACGCTCTGATGTTGTGCAGAGCTGTCCTAAATGCGGTATGCCTAAGAAATGTAAATGCTTCGTTTCGGGCACAACCTCAAGTGCTGCACTCCAGGAAGAGGCGAACGCTGGTATCGAGGGCGTGCGGTGGCTTGAGCGAGCCCAAGGTGGGTTGGACGAGCTGCTGAAGTCAAGAGCAGTTTCAGGTATTTGAAGTCAGGTTTTGGTATGAGAATTTGACTGGAAGGTTGTTTGAGTTGCACTGCTTCTGATGCTTTGCACTCTGGGGAAGTTGTTTGAGCCTCAGCATTCAGAGCAGCAGAAGTCTTCCAAGTTAGACACAATACTTCGTTGATAGCGACAGGACCCGATAGGCTAGTCCAATTTGTCCCGGCAAGAGACCCCAAAAAAGATCTCAACATGAAAGTGCGCAGATTAGAGGCCAAGTATGAGAGCGCACACACACACACACATGAGAGCTAAGGAGGAGACCAGGTAGGAGAAGCACAAATGAGAGAGCGCACACATGAAAGCACACGGACATGTGAGCACACCTATGTCATTGAGCACACTCATCAGAGCACACATATTGAGAGTGCACATTGAGAACGAGAGTGCACATTGAGAACATACATGTATGAGAGCACACACACACACACATGAGAGTACACACATGAGCGCAGACATATGAGAGCAGATATATGCAGGGACACAAGAGGATACACATGTATGAGCACTCAGATGAGAGCGCACACGAGAGTGCCCACTAATACACCAAATGCTGCGATTGCCACGAAATCTGCACATCAAGGTTCACAAAGTGCTGCGCCTGCCACAAAATCGGCACTTGCAGGTTCACAGCCAAACAGCCAAAGCGCTTCCAAAACAACATCGAGATGCCAGAACGAAACTTGCGCACGAGACGTCTCTCAGATCCGAGAAAGAAACCACAAGTCCAAAGCTCACGATTCAAATGGATTCACTGCGCTTGCCATGAAATCTGAGCATGCCAGAAACCACCACTAAGTCCAAAGTTCTGTGCCTGCCACGAAAGCTGCACATCCAGAGGACGGAGCAGCCTGCACCTGCCACGAAAAGTCAACTTGAGACCAGCAAAGCACGAGGACTCCGTTGTGCCTGCCATGAAAAGTTACCACGAAGTTCGAGAATGTGCACAGGACCACAACGAGAACGCAGTGGCAAAGCAGGCAATGGCCCCACCAAAGTACCGAGGCCCCATTTTTGTAGTTGCCAGCAACCTGCTTTGGAAGCAACTGACCAAATTGCAATCGTTTTCGTGGGACAGTACGGTCTTTTGAACATTCTCACACGCTCCTATCGCAACGTAGAGAATAGTGCCAGTGATCCAGTCCAGACTCCGCAAACGAGGTTGTTGCTACGGAGTTATTGCTAGAACATGGCCGGCTGTGCGACCAGCAACTACGAACTTTAGGCGCAAATTTGGTGCAGAGATTTGTGGCAATAGCTTCGATGAGTGTTGGAGGGGATAAATGACATCCATGGATGTCTTACACTGTGAGGCAGACGAGTTGTTCAGCCCGTGTTATGGCGAATGCTTGCCATACAGGCCCGTTTCTTTTTGGCTTAGCAGCTTATCAATCTTCGCCTGATCGTGCAGGGACTTTTTGTTTGGCTAGGCGCCGCCTGCCACAGAGCACCATCGCATTTTTGAAAGGCCAGGACTTTCCGCTCCGTCGTAAAAGGGGCCAGGTTCACGTGTGTCAATGCTCCAGCTTCACCGCTCTGGCCAGGAACCCGGGTCTGCCTGGGATTCGAGGGCGCAAAGACGCAGCACGCTGGAAGATGAGGCCTGACAGATTGACTTTCTTTTCTTCATAGAGATTGGACCAGGCAGGGCACATGAGTCGAGGAAGTTGTTCTTGTCAGAATGGCGCTGGTACACTAAACTTTGGTACTGGGAACAAGAAGCTACTAGGGGCTCCTGGCCGTACTACTAGGAGCAAGTAGCTACTAGTAACAGGAAGCTATATAACCTTCATTCTTTCAGCGATCCTTGTCACGTTGCGAGCTCCAGGTATCTCCAGGAGCTGCGATCTCCCAGCCGCTCCGGCGCCGAGCTCTCCGACCTGGCCCGGGGCTTTTATACGGTCGAAGTCGCAGAACATGAAGGTTAAAGTATAAGTTATAATATAGCTTCTTGTTACTAGTAGCTACTTGCTACTACTAGTAAGGCACTTGTTACTAGTAGCCATGCACTTGTTCCTAGTAGCTTCTTGTTACTAGTAGCTACTTGCTCCTAGTAGTACGGCCAGGAGGTTCTAGTAGCGTCCTTGCTTCTAGTAGCGATGCCAGGAGCCCCTAGTAGCTTCTTGTTCCTAGTGACAAATTGATAGAATGGGTTTGTGGGGTCTTGCAGTCTTTTCCATGGGGTTGAGGTTTTCTCGCTGAGGATGAAACGCAGTTAAGGTTGCAGTTGGCGGTACGACTCGAGTAATAATCGGGTTAAGTGTGTGGGCTCCGAAACGGGCTTGCACGGTTTTTGTCCGCTCTGTCGAAATCCTGCGAAACGGCTTTTCACCATTTACTGTAAGTAAAAAGACCACAAATGGAAGCACTCTTCCCGGGCAGAACGTCGCTTTGTGAACCCACTAAAAAGCTTCTGGATTTCGATTTTCTGCCATGGATCGATCGCGCAGCCCCATTTCTGGAGCAACAAGGCAAAAGAGCTCCAGGAACCAAGGCTGCGTTAGATACCGGAGCAGGATAGCACTACAAAGGAGTCCCTCTTCGTCAGTGACACCTTCCTTTTCCAGCCTTAATTACCCTAGAACGCGTCGTGGGTGGCAAGCCCTTCCTTTCCATCTAACTTTGGCTTTGCCGTGCCCTGGCTCGGAGAGGGTTGCTATCGCATCAGGAATCTAACCTACAACTGAGTTTGCCCACCTTTAGCCATCTCCTCCCTGTCAAGGAAAGGAATTCAACCTCGCCTGGCGCAAAATCGAGCCTCGCATCACCGCAGCCCCATAGATGGACCAAAGCAACCGAAGAGACCAAGGCTGCTATTTTCTGCAGAGGCTCTGAAACGGGATTACGCCACGTAATGCCGTATGCCCGGTCTCTCGACAACCTGAAACGGCTTCTTGATGCCGTGTACAAAGCGTTGCCTTCGGCACCCACTAGAAGAACAACCTCTGCACATTCGATCTGCAGCCATGGACCGCGCAGTTCCATGGACAGCCATGGAAGGCCTACCACCGTTTCTCTCTGCCAGGGGCCGCGAAATCGGTGCGTCCTTGGCGCCTCCCCTTTTCCTCTTCAGGGGTCGGCGGATTTGGAATGCTAAATCAGCGGATGGCGTGCTCTGTGACATGTGTGTATTGATGCATTCATCGTATGAACGCATTTTGCAAGGCACCTTTGCTGCATCTGAGTTTGGGCTCGATTGGCACCCGGCTAAGCCTTCTTCAGGCAGGGACATGATTCCTTGACCTTCTGTTGTCAATTGAGACTTTGAAGGTTGAGTCTGAAGTGAAGGTGGATGACCACTGTTTCAAACGACGTAATACTTGCAGCTCATGCTCGCAGCTCTAGACCACGGGGTGGACACATTCCGTAGTCGATAGACAGTTGCATTAAACATTCTATCAAACGTATATCCAGTTTGTTCAAGTCTTTTTGGGCTGACCTGGTGCATGGTTGGAATCTTGACATTGAGAGCCCTTTGGCGAGGTTGGCTCAACAGCCTCTGGTGCCTGGGATTTGTTCTCCAGACAAGCGGGCAGAGGCCAACTGAGACTATCGACCGAACAGAACGGACCACCGCACCAGGGATGTCCAACGTTTCGGGGTCCAGGTTTCGCAACACAGAAGATGGGTGGTTTCGGCCACATCACTCGTTTTTTTTGCAGCTCGAGCAAAGTATGGGTGGATTTGCTTGCATTGGGAAAGGAGCTCTAATGTGGCATGCGCTCCGTGAAGAGGCCTGTGGGACAAGTTGCTTGTTATTCTTTCAAGGATTTTGGTACAGCTTACCAGGTTGTGATTGTCCTCGTGCACTAACACATCGATGGATTCATGCGATTACATGTCAAGGGACAATAAAACATCATCAAAAATCAGGGTGATATGCCTTGGGCAAGGTCAGCACGTTTAAAAGTTAAAAGCACATGCCGGATCCATTTGTTTTCGCTGTTCGCTGGGCGGCTAGGTGAGCCCAGTGGCTGGGTTGCCATCACACCTTTTTCTCTCTTTGCCGAACCATTCCAGAAAGCAGCTGGTGGGCCGCGGCGCCCTGCAAAGCCAGGACTTTGACAAAATGAGCTGTCGTTATATGTATTTGGTTCTGTCGGCAAGTAACTATTGTTACAGGTTGCGAGTAGGTTGCGGCGTACTGCAGCATGTCTTCACGTTTGCAGGAGCTACCCGCAACTGCCTATCGCTTTTCTGAGCACTCCGAGCGCCAAGCCTTGCTATTGGTGCTAAAAGCACTAAAAGATGCAGCTCGAATACGCCCTCTTGAAGCACAAGCGAGTTGGGACTCTGAGGATGACCTGGATGACCTCGAGTCAGATTGGCACTTTCCCTTCCCTGAACCTGAGCGCTATGTCCGCTATGTTCCGGTGCTCCAGGCGCGCCCGCCTCAAAGCCAGGCAGGGCAGCGCCGCAGCTCGACAACGCTTTGGGCAGACCTGCGGGTGGAAGCGGAGAACGCCGAGGTGGAGGCACTGGTGAAGCTCCGTGTGGCAGAGCAGGCCATGGTGTCAGTGCAGCATTCCGATGGACGACAGTGGCTTCAACTGGCGCAGGCCAGGAACGGCTTGACGCAATTGTTGAAGTTTTTTCCCTAGCAGCGTCCTTGCTCCTAGTAGTATGGCTAGCGTCCTTGCTCCTAGTAGATTTTGCTTTTGCAGTGTGACACAGTGTGTTCCCTTTTTCGGGCAAGGAAGCTTTCCAGCAACCGGGCCCTGTCCGTTCCCGCGCTTCGGCGGCCGGTGCAGCGCTGGCGTCCCTGGATCGCGCCGAGGGGGAAGACGTGGCGGAGGTCCGTGAGGCCTGGTTGGTGCGAAGACTGTAAGGCAACCCCCAGTTGCCTTGGGAGTAAACTATGGAAAGAAGGAAGGAATGATTGACATGACATAAATCTTTTTCGCCACAAAGCTCGAACGGCGGTGACATGTGAAGGCACTGGCTGATGCCAGAAGAGCCCTTCGGGACGCCTTGGTCTGGTGCTTGTCTCGGACCACATTTGTTCGCACCGTTTCGAATCATAACCTAAAACTACATAGACATTTATAGATTCCCACAATCTGATTATTAGTGAGATATTGTGCTCCATGGCCTGCAGAAAAAGTTTTCCAGTGATCCCGCATCGTTCACGTTGTCACCCCAACAATAGCAGTCTGTTTGAGGATTCGGCGTTGTTTGGATACATGTATATCATTGTATATTAAGGTCTAAAAAACCAAATCACTGGAAGCTGCAAACCATAGCCAGCTTGAGGGTTTGCATCTCGCACGAACATGCATGCGACGCCACAAATGACACCAGAGCAAGGGATATTTTTGGGCGCGCTTAGCGTGCTGGACTGAGGCGCTGCCAGGAAGTGAGCCGCCCAATGCGATCAAGAGATAGCTTCAAAAAGACAATGGAGGAGGCACAAGGGGTCATGCGGCAATGTATTTTGCAGGCTGCTAGGTCCAAGGGACAGCAGGATCTTGACAAGAGTCAAATTGTTTTGGACTGTAAACTGTAAGTACAGGAAGACGCAATAATCTGAGAGAGAGGGATGGGGGAGAGAAAGAGAGAAAGAGAGAAAGAGGGAAAGAGGGTCAGTTAGCCAGTCAATGAGATAGATAGAATCATATATAGATAGAGAGAGGGAGAGGGAGGGAGGGAGGGAGGAGGGAGAGCGAGCAACATGTTTCTTGAATATTTGAGATTCCTAGCTCAGTGTCTAGTCTCATGCTGAACATTGTGAGGCCTTAGGTGGACCTTTGACGCAAGCGCAGTGGTGTGAGCCCAAGCAAAAGCCTCCAAATTGTTAAAGTAGTGCTTGGTGTGGTCCAGTTTCGGTCTGACAACAGAGGACTTTACTGGTCAAACTTGTTGCACCAATGACAGAGGAGCGCTATATACAGGCTATGTTCATTGTTTCCCTCATTCAAGGAGGTAGTCTGACTGAACGACATAGGCTGAACTGCAGTTACCGAGCCTCCTCTCGAGTTTCTCTCGTTTCTTCCGAAGTCTTACATAGACATAGAGAGCCACTCCTTCAGTGAATCCTGTGCCCCCAGCGAGGTCTGAGTACTTCAGAACACACAACGCGGTGGTGTGAGTCTCAGGAAGAATCTCTGGAACACTCGAGAGGTGACTTCTGTGCGAAACAAGTGCGAAGCAAGTGCGAAGCAAGCGCTGGCGGAGGTGGCCAAAGTGCTACCAGAGCTCGACTTCAAGGCGCTCCCGTCGGATGTCGTCGGGGGTCTTTCGGCAGTTGGGAGGCGGAACTGGGGGCCTAGCGGGTTGCGGGTTGCGAAAGCAACCGTGGCTTGATTCACCATGATCATGAGCAAGGCAGCCAAGGATAGCGAGGGTGGTGGAGGTATTGAATGGCGACGTCATGTGTGGAACAGAAGTACAACTCTGCTACATGTGGGCTCAAAGCTGTCAAGAGTGACAGTGATACACGTCTTTGTAGCTGTATTACACCTATTTTTGACTGTGACCTGCTTGCAGCTAGCCGAGGTGCTTTCGGATCTTAAAACACACTTGCAAGTTGACATCCCGCGCTCCGACGCTTTCGTCCGTGGCCGAGGTTGACAAGAAAAGACACATGGCAGTTTGCCAGGCAGAGAGCAGAGCACAGCAGAGCTTCAGGGCAGAGAGTCTTGGTCGTTCTTGTTTTGTGCGGCCTTGATCTCGCCAGGTGCTCTCAGCCTTGGCGCTCCTGGCCCTGGTGGTGGCAGAGCCAGATGCGCAAGCCTTGCTTGGAGACGACCAGTGCGAAGGCACGTAGTCTGCAGTCCATGCGGACTTGCCATGGCGATCTGGCCAAGGAAATCCCACATTTGGGCAGAGTCAGTATCTCTGGTTTCCAAATCGTAGAGAGTTGCAGAAAACCTTCCTTCATTGCTTTCAATCAGAGTATGATTTTCGAGAAACGTCCAGCTCATCGCACTTGCCAAGACTAGTTTGTGGACGATATGGATTGTTGGTGAGTTTTCGATCCATGCACCGGCACAATGTTGTCCCTTCATGGGCCTGCGATCTTTGACCTGTGTGGCTCTGGCTTTACTTTCAGGCGAAGGCCAATGCGCTCTGAATGCACTTCAGAGACGTGGTGCCAAGAAGGCGGAGGCGCCTTGCGGTCGGCCGCGGGAGATCCACAGCGGGCCGCGTGCGGAAGCTGGGCCAAGGGTTTGGTGTTTCGCCAGGAAGAGGAGTTCAAGGTAGATGAAGAGGCCTTGGCGGCTTTCATGGAAGATTCAATCAAGGCAGGGGTCATCAGTCAGGGGTCGTACTTGCATAAAGCTCAGCAAGTTGCTGTTAGGCACAGAGTCTGCCTGCTGAACTGGAGCAAGTAGATGAGGAGAAGGGCTTGTGCTCATGATCCTCTATGATTCTTCAAATTGTGCTCATGATCCTTTATGATTCTTCAAACCTTTTAATTTAGGATGCTCTAGACAGCAGCTCTCCTAACCATGCTTGCCCCGTCAAGCATTTAGCTTTCTCACAAGCCATGGATTTTTCACATTGAACTTGGCAGCAAGACCGCCTCGTGCCTGAGGAGGTTCAGGTCAATTACACATACTTGGCTTCCATGGGTCTGGCACAAAGTTCGCAGCCATGGAAAAGAATTTTGAAAGAACATTTTGACAGACTCAGTTCGTTTCCTGAGCGAAATTCCCGATCGGAAAGGAACAACTGCCCTTTCTTGTGCTTGGCATTGCCTTTCAAAACAGAGTGTTCCAAGCTTATGAGGTTGCTTTGCTAAGCCTGAGGAATATCGTTCGGGGCACCCAGCTCTTCTGGCTGTTCAGTCTCCAAGTAGCTCATTGCTCACACAACAAAGGGTCACAGGGTTTTTGTCCAGGTGCCTGTCATTGCTGCTCTTTTGCCCAGAGTGTTGTCATTGGACACTTGTTGTGCTTGCTACCAGCAGGTCTGAGTGTTGCCACGGGCGATACAGCATTTTGTTTTTCCCCGCTTTTCTTGCGACAGGAGGCTTGTGGCCTGGCCCAACTTGAAACTCTCCTCCTTGTCTCAGTACTCAGTAGAGAAAAACTTGTCTTTCTTTTTAGGATCTTTTAGGAAGAACGAGCGATTGTGCCCCTTCAACCATCTATTTTTGTATTGTGGATTTGTCGATTGAGTTGTTACGTAACTATGTGGTTCAGGCCTCTCTTGGCGTGCAGCTGGTCGTGACTTTTTTGATCAGTTCACCTTCATAGAAGAGGAGAGGATTAAGATGCTTTTGGGTCAAAATGCACATCATCTTCAAGAATGGGCATGTTTTGAAGATGAACAACTCAGCTAGCATTTGTGCACCTTCCGTCCCTTTTGTGGAGCTCTCATGGGCGTGGCAAGACAGGATGATACACATGGCGCACAGAAGTATCTCTCCAAGAGCGAAGCCTTCCGCAAGAATGCCCGCAGCTCAAGCGTGCGATGAGATCATTTCGACAGGGAGGCCTCTGAACACCGGTGTGAGGTTATCTCAATTTGTGAACCCCAGTGTTGGATTCAGCGTATTTCCAATACCTGGGCGCATCCACAGGTGATCTCGGTGAGCAGCAAGGGCTCTGCTGTGCTCCGAGTTGGCGAGCTGATCCCCACGGGGGATGCGGGAGCACCCTACAAGAGGAACAGCGCTTGGGAGCTCAGTTATAAAGTGATGACCTGCGTCAATTCTATTGGCACCAAATTGCAAACCTCTGTGGAAGTAGCGAAGCAAGAGAAACATAGACTCTGTGCATTCGTCTCTTTCTAGCTTTTTTGATGACAGAGTTGACCTAATTTTTTTCTTTGTGCTCAGAATGTGTCGATCTTTGAGTAGATTAAATAGATGGCTTCTTGGCTTCTGGCGATGGCTGAGGTCATGATCCATTCGAATTATGCGTGGACTCCATCAGCAGGTGCTGTTGTTCATGTAGCAGAACGAAGTTGTTCGGGGAGAGAACGGAGGAGTTGGACAGATCCAATCGAAGTTCTTTGAGTTCCGAGTGGATTTTGTTCCCTCAAGGAAGTTACGACACCAAGACTTGTCCAAAAGCATAATTGTGGGTTGCACTTCGCAGATTTCAACACAACTGACAGTCTCAGGCATGCTGGTGGTCATGAAGTACAACCATGTTCCCTATGGCCCTTCGATCTGGCCTGCTTTGTGGTTGATGAACAGCGACAATGTTTGGAATCTCGTCTGCAAGAAGATTATTTTCTCTTGACTCTGAAGCACATAGAGGAAGGCTTGAGGTCTTCTGGACAGAGGTTGGCTCTTGCAGCAAATGAGGGAAAGGCATGGAAAGGCACTGAAAGTCCGCGCGCATGGGACCATGAGTCTATGAGTTCTTGTTTTCCCAAGGCCGAAGGGCGGTGAGTTTGATATCATGGAGTATGCCAATGATGAGGATCCTTTTCCGTCTTTCAATCGATCTTCGATCCTTTCCCGGTCTTTAAGAAGCGACACGGAGCGACACGGATCGTGTTCAGGTGTTCAGCATTTCAGACCCTTATAAACTTGTACGGATAGCCGTGCCTTCAAATGTGCGAGCAAATTTGGGGGTGCCGTTAAACGGATAGCACATATTCTTTGAACGGACTGCGTTCTGACTTTTTTTTGTGTTTGCTTGAGTCTAAGAGTGTTGGCTTTGGCTGCTCTCCAGGCCAGCAAAATCACCTTCCATGCTGAGCGCAACTGCTTTCTGGACAATCGTCACTCAGATGAATTGGGCCAGGAGGGGAGTCGAACAAGTCGAAAACACTCTTAGAATCAAGCTATGCTGTGGTGTTGCTACAGTACATGATTTGTTTGCTTGTTACTTCGGGTCCAACAACTGTGGGAAACAACTGCTCTATGTAAATTTTGATGGCCTGGAAGCTGTATTACGATATTTGGACGTTGGCCAATGCTCATGTCCAATAGCGCGGTTGTTAGTTTTTGCCTCTTCCTCAAATATCCAAGTGATTGCTGTCTCGCTTTGTCGCCCAACTTCATGAGGACGAGCTTCATGAGGTTCAGGACCTGAAGTACTTGTAGTTTGTTGCAGATCAGATGGTAAATTCTCCAGCATAAACAAAGGCTTTTGAACCAAGAGTCAGTGAGGTGGAGGATGACAGGTGTTTACGGCTGGACGAGACGATAGAAAAAGGATGTTTCTGTGGAGAGAACAATGCTGGTGAAATTCAACAGCTACTTCAAGATACTTCAAGACCACAAGATTATATAAATATTCACGTTGCGATGTTGTTGCTGGAAGCTGGAGCTGACAAAGATGCAGCGGTTGATGGTGGCTGAATGGCTTTAAATGTTGCAGCCCGGAATGGCCGCTTGAAAGTTGTGCCATGTTGTGCCCCTGTTGCTCGAAGCTGGAGCTGACGATTGGTGAATGACTGTGCCCAAGGAAGTTAGCTTGCGCTATCTGCTTCAAGCTAGAACTCAATATCTTGTAGCAGGGAAGAAGTAAAGGTCCCATTACTCAATGGTCATACGGTCATTCAACATATTTCGTACTGAATACTGTATTACTATATCCCAGATTCAAAATGCTTGCGTATGGAGCACAAGAGTTGATCTAGTGCTTCGTTGACATTTTGGGACCCAACGAGATGTACTCAGCTGCACCGCTGCATCATTCAGGCAAGCTGGAGAACTGCATGCGAGGAAAGCACATGGGCGGTCCTGGGCCGTCCAATTGCAATACGAGCCCGAACCGCATTTCAGAGTGCCAGCTCTATGATTGTTTGTGAGAATAGGGGAGTTTTGGTTTCGTTGGACATCGTATGACGCACGCAAGCTTTTAGTCTGTAGACCAGGAAGGAAACGTCAACAAACATCAAATGTCAAAAAAGCCGTGGCTTTGGCGCTTCCAAGGAACTACTGGAAGAATTTGTTGGGGTGCCGACCCAGACAAATCCAAAGGACTGGCTCCTGGTATGCCAAGAATCCAGGCCTTCCGCACGTTACCTTTGCGAGCTTGATTTCACCATCAGAGCTCCGTATCATTTCCGAAAAGCATTTCTCCGCTGTTTGGCCAGGTGTGATTGCAGCCGCCTGGGACAATGATGGCATCACAGCCCCTTGTCCCACAACACTTGAAGCTGCCTGTTCCATCGAAGACCCTGTTCCGAAAGAATCTCCGTGACTCTATCCATAGCGTTGGGTCTAGTAGCGTCCTTGTCCCTAGCAGCGATGCCGGGAGCCCCTAGTAGCGTCCTTGCTCCTAGTAGCGATGCCCCCTCCGAAGGTCTATCACATCCCGGAACATCGCATCCCGGCGGATCTCAAGGCCTTTAACGTCGCTGATCCCGACTCAAGCATGACGACCGGACGGTTCCGCGGGACGGGACGGGACGCGTTCGCGGCAGGATGACCGACCCAAACCGGAGAACTGGGGCGAGTTCGCGGTGCCGAGCTTGGTGTGTGCCAGTCAAGCGTGGCGAGCTTTGGAGCGGAAGGTGTTTGATTTTGCGTCTTCGGTTTCCTCAGGTGGCCTACCTGCCCATGGAACACCACAGCTGCAAGGACATTGCTCAGCCACAGGAGATCTTGGCAATCCTGGGAGGGCAACAAAGAGTCAATTTTAAATCGACTCAAGTTTTAGGCTTGATTTATATAATTGTCTCTCTTTACCAGCTACACGGCCTTCGACACGTACCACGGTTGATGAATGGTTTTTCAGTGACAAGCGTGCCTTTTAGAAGGGTGAAAGTGCTGGTGGACGGGGCTGCAGGTCCATCGTTTGTTTGCTAGTAGATACAATGGTGCTGCCCGGCGACCTGGCCTTTTGCCTGTGCCGTAGCGACGAGGGACCGCCGCAGATCAACGGAGTGGTTGAAGATCCTTCCGATAAGAAGAAACGTCTCCACGATTTACGATTTATCAAGGTAACCTTGGTCGGCCTTGCGTGCGAAGGCTCTGCTAGAGAGTGCCTGGGCTTGGAAAGCAGGTGGTCAAGTTCCGAAGATGGCCCAGGCTCGAGCTGCTTGGTCGGAAGTGGAGGTGGACAAGCATGTGGAAAGCAGCGAGGTCGTACCCCGGAGCCAAGACAGTGCAGAGTTCAACAAAACATGGAAGGCGAGCTCTGGCGCCTCAGCAAAGACGACGGTTCCAGCTCAGAAGAGATGGGCAGGTTGCATGGAGACCGTGGAACAGTTCAACGCTCGCGGACCAGCGAAGGAATGGCCGCAAAGCCCGTTGGTTGATGTGTTTTGTAGAGCTGCCTGGCACTTGCTTTCGGCCACGTATCGCAGGAGATTGTGCTGAACATTGCACTCTGTGGCGACTGGGCGGGCAACGGCTGGTTCCGGTCAGGTGAGGCTCGTCGAACGGGCTACACGCACGGTCTCTTGACTCAAGAGTGGGCTGCGGCATCCCTATGGCGGAAAACAGTGGTGCCACCCAAATATGGATGAACAAAAGTTTTGATGTATATATATATATATATTATATAGAGATTTGGTGGTCCACAGGGTACTTTCAAGATATTGAGCGAGAAACAAGTTCACATCATTTACTGTAACATCTGCAACTCAGTTGGATTTAGAGTCAGTGTCACAGTGTCATGAATAAGGAACCTGCGTTGCTGAAATGACACATACACTTAGGAGTTATGCTAAATTTCATGACATGCTTTCTGAACCCAACCATTTTGTTTATTAGGTGCTCTTGCAGTGACCAACTTGAGGTTGCGGCCCTCTGATTTTTGAGCCCAACAGAGACTGCTGCACTCACTTTGCAACGAGCAAAGCAGCTTGACATCATTATTGCAAAGTTTTTCTTGTGTTATGATTGAACCTGATTGAAGTCTCCAACAACATCATGTAGGTTTCAGGCTTTTGTGCAGAGTTATTCTGTGTCCTCATGTCGCGGATGCGGTTATAGTGTAAGTACATGTATTGGAAACGATGTTGTTCTTTCAAAGGGACTCAAGAAGTTCAAACCGTCACTTGCAGCTCGTTTGAAATCCAGGATCATCGAGTTGAGGATATGTTCAGGACCAGGGAGCGAAACAATGCAACTCCTTCATGTCCCACAAATATTTTCGCACCATGTTGATGCAGGAGACAAGCTTATTTTGACATTGACTATTTGAAGGCCCATGGAAAGAAAGGAAGTAAGTGGTCAAAAAAGGATATAGCAGGGCTATATAAAGGTTTTTGAGAGATAACTCTGCAAGCCGTGAATCAATCAGCTTGCTGTTCGGTCGAATGACCGATGGCCGCGGTAGGTGTTTGCTCCCGTGCACTCCCCACGACCCCAAGTCTCTGGTGTGAAACGGCAGCTTGGACAGTGACGCTTTGCAGGTCGGAATAGTCCACAAAGCGAAAACTAAAGACTCTTGCTGCACACTTGTTGAATAGTAGCTTCCAGTTACTACTAGCTTCTTGTTACTAGTAGCGATGGCCTCCAACCTACTTGCGATGGCCTCCATATCCGAGAATGCTTGCATTTTGCATTATTTTGCCGTTGGCACTACACATGGCAGTGAGTTGCAGAAGTCTCCTTGCTCTAAGCCCTGGTTTGGATTGGCTGCGTGTTTGGCTGCCCCGGTCGTCCAACAGCTCGGTGAAGCTGAGGCGTGGCACGCTGTTACACTGAGGCCGCAGCTAGGATTGGATGCACTGGTCGCCTCAGCCTTCCGACCTTCGGGATAGCCCTTTCATGCCTTTTTTACAGCTCACAAGAGTCACGTTGATAGCCATTTCTTCCCCCGTTTCACGGATTTGACTTTGTCAGAGTCTAGAGTGAGTTCACAGAAGGTGCTTCCTTTGCAGACGTTCGCTGCTTCTCAGCAACGTGCAGAGCTTGTGGTGCCAGTTCATCCGTTTTGCCTACCAGTTCATCTGCACCTTTTTTCACGTGCAAAGTCACACAGAAAGCCGCATATCCGGTGCGAAAGCCACCGTTGATGCAACCAGCCACCGGGCGCCGGTTTCGACCTCAGAATAAAAAGCGGAGACTAGTTTGAACCTCTTCCTGATCGTACGTGGGCTCTGAGTTGGAACAGGTTGACAGGCTAAAACATGGGGGCCTGGGTCATTCAAAGAAACCCAAAGAACCTACACCATGGAAGATGCTTTATTTGGAGATTTCGAAGCATTCTTGATGCCTTTGCAAGGCAAAGAGGCGGAGACGCCAAAGAGAGTGATCGGCGAGATCACGGATTATTTCTTTGACGAGCACGCGCCGTAAAAGAGGGGCAATGTGTTGCGCTCTCGTTGTTGTTGTCGTTGTTGTTGCTGCTGTTTTTTCTTCAATTTAAGATGTGCTGATTGTGGTCCATCTCCTCTCTGTGGCTCTGAAGACCAGCCCTCGTTGCCAAAGCACGCTCGAGGGTAAAAGTGCTTCTAGACAACCAAAGTATCAAGTTGCACATAGATCACATCACGCGGGAAAGTGATCCATTTCAAGGCTGAACTCATGTGAGGGAGCAATGAAGCAGCTATGAGGTAAAGTGAAGCAAGCAAAAGTAGGTGAAGTGTCGAGAATTATCAGACGCGTCACTAGGATCCGCGGCACGCCGTATACATACCTATTTATACCCATGGCGCGACCTCCACCCTCCAAGTCCAAGGTCAACATCTTGGATTTGAGGCACGCACCACCAGACAATGGCCTCCAACCTAAGAGCGATGGCCTCCAACCTAATAGCAATGGCCTCCAGCCTCCAACCTAGAGGCGATGGCCTCCAACCTAGTAGCAACCGCAAAATGACACTTTCTGTTATTTGCTTGTGATGACACATGTCCTTTCACCAAAGGTGGCCGGTAGCCTATTCATCCGCATCCTCCCCGTTCATCCTGATGCTCTTTATGCCTATCCTTGTTCTCCTCATCTCCCTCATCCAGCCTGTTCTTATCCATCCTCATCCTCATCATTATCCACTTGGCTCGTTTGCCTTCAGCCCGCCCGGGTAGCATCTTGCCTCCTCAGCGCCCCCAGTCAAGTAATGGGCTGATTAGCTTGGTTTGTGACGCCAGGTAGTTCGGTTATTGCTCCAACGGGCTGATTACTGTTCAATGAGGTTGATTTCCAGATATTCTCACCAGGAGTTCTTTGTCTGTGTGCGTCCAGACAATCAAACAATCATAGAGGTAAGGATGAATCTGTCTTTGCGCAGTAGTGCAATCTACATACATTTGCCTGGCGAAGACTTTGACTTTTGTTCACACCTCCTTCGTGGCAGGCCCGTCCGCAGGTTGAGACTTGGCTGATCGGTGGGTTTGCCATGAAGAATCTGCAAGAAATATCCGAATTTGAAGAGACGTTTGGAGTTTTTTCTCCAGGTATTTTCAAGCTTGTTGGGTCGAAGGGTCCAAAGGACCGTTTGTTCCGAGGGAGCGGGAATTTCGAGAGGCTGGACCCGGGGCAAGGCTGAGAGTGTTTTTTGAAGCATCGAATCGAAGAAAGCGTTGGTTTGCTGGAGGAGGGCAAGGACGAGGAGGGAACTGGAGATCTTGGCTTTGTCACAGCCTCAGCACAGTAAGTCCAGCTTGAATCCAACCGACTGAAGAGGAAGCAACTTTGTTGGCATTTGTGTTAGGCTTGTCAGGTGTGTTCTTGGTCAATTTTAGCCTTCAGAAACAATTTCCTGACATTTCCTTACAGCGTATGCTCCTTTTAGACACAGACCTTCAGAAACAATTTCCTGACATTTCCTTACAGCGTATGCTCCTTTTAGACACAGACACACACTTAGATAAAGGCTCGCAAGAGCAGTATCAGTTAACGAAGTCCCAGTTTACCGCAGGTAGACCTTTACACGCAAGTAGATCTTGACTTGAATCAACCGCAGGAAGTGCTGGGTCAGATCAACAGAAGGTTTGAACAAATGCAGTAGCTCTTTTAGAATGGATTGAACATCTTGCTTTTGAATGGATTGAAAATCTTGCAGGTACGTTCCTAAGGCGTCCCTCAGGAATGTCACAGTCTCAAACCACCGTCTTCGTTGGGCATATCGAGTTCCTTTGAAGCAGGAGGTGACGGTGACGCACACAAAAGGCCGTCTTTCGGCGCACTTTCTAAAATGCACCTGTTACAGTCTATTTCTGTCAAGAATCTTTCATTGAGATGTTATGATGTTTTCGTTTAACACAATTGCCAGTCACTGCTAGACAGTCTTTTCTTCGACTCATGACTCTGACCATTTCCTCCAATACAAGAGTTTCATTTTTCTTCATCCACGGCGCGCTGAATTTGTCGTACGTGTTGTTGAGGGTTGGCAAGTTTGCGGGCGTCGGAGAACTTCCGGCCATTTGTTTTTTGGTGGATTACGAAAGCCAGCCTTCGTAGAAGGCGCCAGCTGAGTTGTGCTTGGCGAACGAAGTGAGTAGTAAGGGGTTCTGGGGGGGTTGGCCCGCAAAAGGTACACGTAAACTCTGCACATGCTGGGGGAGGAGGGTGGACGGATGGAAGGTTTGTTGAGGTTGTGTTGGAGGTGATTTTTGATGGGTGGTGATGCAAGAAATGCAATTTGCATCATTTGCATCATCTGAGTGGTGAGGTGTAGTTGGCACCTTGCCAGGTATAGATACCCAGGGTAGCTATAGTGCAGTTACCAGGTATAGTACTTCAAGTTCCCTTTCTACCGCTCGATAACCTTTACACACGCACAGCAATCCGCAGCTTTGAAGTCTCATGCGCGCGATACCTGTGAACAGAATTGTAGCTACCCTGGGTCCGTACAAATGCTACGTTGCTATACCTCTTACACACCTATATAAGTTCCAAGCACGAATGAGACTTCAAAGCTGTGGATTGCTGTGCGTGTGTAAAGGTTATCGAACGGTTGACGGAAAGGAAGCTTGAAGTACTATACCTGGTGACTGAATTGTAGTTACCCTGGGTATCTATACCTGCGCCAACTGAGTAAGAAGGGGGGTTCGGGGGGTGGCCTGAGAAAGCACACTCGAAAGTAAAAACGCTGGTTTTCGTTTTGCAGCTTCTCAGGTGTGTTTTATGCGGATAGTTTATGAGAATTGTTTGTGCAGACTTGTTCCGGGGACCCTTTGGTTGCAAGCAGTTGGTTGGTGCTCGGCCAGGATCGGTGGCCTTTGGTGTTTTCGGCGTTGGAAGAGCGCGTAGAGCTTTTGAAGCTGCTTTAGGACTCTTTGTTTGGGGATTTGTGTTGCAGTCGAACACTTTCCACGTATGTGGTCACAGCGACCCATGTCCGGGATCACTTCAATCGGATGACTCCGCAAAGTTCTTGAGGCCCCGAAGCTCAAACGGAAACTTCTGGATTGTGTATCTAACAACGTGTCTGCGATGGAATGCTGGAAGTTTTGAAGGCGGGTTTACTGATTTTTGCGTGCGGCCGACTTCTTCATGTGTCAACCGAGAAATGCATTCGCTCAAGGTAGTCTACAGAACCTAAAAACCCAAAGTGTGCTCAAAACTCAAAACCAACAAAGCGAACGCGCAAAAGTATTTACAAAACAAATTGTAAGGGTCGCACGAAGGAACAAAAACAATATTATTGACCTCAGACTTTTATCTGAACGTTTTTGCTGCAGCAAAATTAAGCAGAATTGTGGGGCGGTAAGGATTCCGCCGGGATGTTCTTCTCAACCATCTCGTGTTTTCAGCGTATTGCGAGGGCCTCATCCTGTGTTTCAATATAGTCATTAGTTTTTGTTCTTCAATGAAGCCTTCTCCTGTGTGCACGAATCCGCACATAACTACCAGGAACCATTGTGGACCTTTGCTCAACCCTACTCGTTGTGCGAATCAGGGTCTTAATAGAGGAACATATTTAAGGGTCTACCGCCCGCGGCCCCGACCTCAGAGCGGCCGCGGGCGGAGGAACAGTGCGGGGGAGCATTGTCGGCGGGCGGCTGCAGGCATTGCGGTCCATCTCAAGGAAGAGGAACCTCAGGACGTAAGTGTGTATATATAAATAGAGGTAGGTATTTCTCTTAAGATACGCTGCTGTTCTTGAAATGGGTAAAAAAACAACCTTTCCAGGCCCAAGGGGTGAACGTCCCAGAAATCCAGGTGTTCGAAGCCCTGAGATGTCCCTATTTATGTATCCGCGTGGTACCAAGCGCGCGGGCGCGGGCGCGTGCGCGACTGGGTTTGGTGTGTTTTCCACACCGGTTCCAGGGGACGCGCAGGGGGGAGTCGAACCCGGGACCCCAGCCTGGACACCGCCTGTACCGAGAAAAAGAACCTGATGGTCCCTACTCCAATGTCCAAAATTTGTCAAAAATCCGTCAATTTTTCGCAAAGCGATGGTTGATTACCAAGCACCAGGACTCTACCTATACCGAACTATTCTCAGGAACACGCCATCCCCGTTCCGTTCACGCTCACGCTCTGGGTGCTGGAACGGGGTCGGCGGACTTGCGCGTGTCCCTCCCAGTCAAAAGGATTTGATCAGATCCTGCATTTTTGGAGCAAGGAGCTGAGGAAGAGGGATCTTTGGACACTGGAGCCTTTCTTAAAACTATTTGTCCTCGGTCAAGGGGTTCACTCTGCAAAACGGCAAAGATTTCTGGCCTTGAACCTTGAGTCGCTTGCGCGTCCTAAGAGGCTTAAATGTCTTAAAGCCTTTGACCTGTGGGAGCTGAACACTAGGAACGGAATCAATTTTTTTGATTAAGCCTCTGGTACTTAGGAGTTTGCGAGTCCCAAAAATTTTAAAATTCTTTGACAGTTGGAGACCAAAAAAACTGAATACGCAGGAGAGTGGGAACAACTGTAGTTCTTTTGGTTCTTAGTCTTAGTTCCTGAAGGTTAAACATATTTAGACTTAAACACACTTGGGACCCACAACACTAAGTAGAAGTGAATCTCCGCCCAGGCCGGACCCAGAAGACCCCCACAACCTTCCTGGTTCAAGATGAGTAATTTGCATTGCCTGGATCGAGCAGTATCCCCGTTGCACACAAACTCCTTTTGGCCAGGCATCACGTGGTTGGGAGTTTAGGCTCTGGCTGTTCCAGTGTTCTGGGTAGCCATGTGGCTGAGGTGATGAGCCCCGGCAAAGAAGGCAGGGAATGTTCAATGAATGTGTTGTTTGCGCGCCGCACAACCCGGTAGATCAGACATTTGAACTGTGATCGCCGCGCTCGCCTCAAGCTCAGTGGCGGGTGCGCGCGCGACTTGAGCAATGGCTCACTGAAAATAGCGCGTGGCCGCGCTGACCGACCTTCGTGGACGAGGACCTCGAGAACCTCGTGACCGGTGATCGAAGCTTCGTTACCAACATTGGTAGCGGAGCGCTACCAGGGCGCTCCAAGAAGAAGAGAAGATGCCAGGACCTTCAGCCTCCGGTCCCTCTACTACCTCCTCAGCTTCAGGTGGATCCATCGAGACGATGAAGGACACCTACATCCCGGTTTTCAATAACCGAGTGGCTGACTACAAGGAGTGGAGGCAGCGCATCATTCTCTACAAGAAGAAACTGGCCCTTCAAGGAAAAGAGAAGGAAACGATCTTGAACCTTCTCACAAGCCTCAATGGCACAGCATGGAAGCAGGTCGAACACCTCGTCGACAAAGTAGCCGAAGCTTCCGACGGCTTTGAGCAAGTGCTGAAAGCATTGGATGCAGCCTTTCAGTACGATGATCGGGTAGAAATGCCCAGAGCTCTCGAGAAGTTTTTCTATCAACTGACGAGGAGGAGCGACCAAACGCTCCTATCTTACTGCTCAGACCACAGAGAGCAGCTTCGAGAAATCGAACGCCACAACATCCGCATCCCAGACAGTGTCAGTGGCTGGATGCTTCTTCGACGGAGCAACTTGACACAAGAACAGAAGCACTTGATTCAGTCGCAGGTTGGCCCCGAGATGAAGAGGGCGAAAGTTGAAGAGGTCATGTACTACCTGCCGGGACAAGACTTCAAGTCAAGGTCAGAGCAGCCAAAGACCTGGAACAAGCATGCCAAAGGCAAGGGCAGATGGTATCCACGTAAGAGCCAACAGGCCTATGCAGCTGAAGACTATGACCTCGAGTATGACGACGATCTCGAGGAGACCTACGTTCAGGCCGACGATGAGCTCTATGAAGAGGATGCCAACTATGAGGACTATGAGGATGACGGTGCCTTCGGTGGCCAGGATGAGGAGCTCTACTACACGGAAGAACCTTGGCCTGAGGAGCCGGACCCGGCTCTCGAAGAAGCCTATGCAGCATACCTTGATGCACGCCGGCAATTTGCCAACCTCCGTGCTGCAAGAGGTTTCTATCCAGTGGTGGCACTGTCGAACCCTTCGGACATGCCAGGATCAACATCGTCCTCGACTACCACTTCCCAGAGGCCAGTGACCAAAGGTTTAAAAGGGAAGAAAGGGAAAGGCAAGGGGAAACCACCACCCCAGAAGGGAACTGCTTTGAACAGAGGACGAACGGCCTTAGACTCCATGCAGTGTTTCAAGTGCGGACGTTTCGGGCATGCAGCAGCTGAGTGTCCAATGAACAAGACCTCGCAATCACCCAAGCGCACCAAGACCGAGACCTCCACAAAGACTCCAGGACAAGCCTTCATGATGCATGATCTCAGCCGAAAAGGGACTCCACAACTCTCTGAGCAAGGCTGGTTTGGATTGCAGGATGGTGGAGCAAGCAGCATGGTATGCGGCCATGAGACTCTCATGAACATCATCGAGTACATGAACCAGCGTGGTGTGCCCTTGGAGAGATACACCTTCCATCCAACCACGAAGATGTTTGGCTTTGGAGGTGATGCGATGAGGAAGGCAGAATGGACCGTGAAGCTCCCGGTCTACGTGGATGGTCAGTCAGGCATGATCGAATGCTTCCTGGTGGACGGCGCTACGCCTCTGCTTGTTGGGCGGCCCATCCTCAAATCTTTGAAGGTGAAGGTGGACTGGGATAAAGACCTCATCTCCTATGGCGACCAAGACTGGAAGCCCGCCATCAAGGGCGACCGTGGTGAGTATCTTCTCAGGCTGGATGATGGAGTGCAAGGTGATCCCGAAGGACATAACTTGGCATTTGACCTGGTGACAACCGAGACCTTCGAGATGGTGCAACGGTCAGGGACGATGCATTCCTCCACCTACACGCTCCTTCAGTACCTTGAGGCCACTGGGCGAGATCCACCAGAGCATTGCCTTCAGGTCGACGGTGAACCCTTCCAGGACAACCTCACTGATGACGATGAACCAGTGATGGATCAACAACCTCAAGGGCACAACGATGAACAGGTGGCTGAAGTGCGGAAAGAGATCACGGACAAACTCCTCCGAGGCATTCGCTTTCATCATGCTACGATGTTTGCCCACCGTCGCTCTGTGCTAGAGCAAGGACTACGTGCTCACGAAGAAGGAGCCAAGGTGTTCTGGGAAGTCTATTCAGGCGAAGCCGGCCTATCCTTGGAGATGCAGCGAAGAGGCTACTTGGTGTACAGTTTTGACACCAATACCGGCTGGAACTTTGATCTGCCTGAGCACCGGAATGCCTACTACAAGCTGCTGGAAGATGTGGCGCCAGTGTTTGTGTGGTTGGCTCCAGCATGCAAAAAGTGGTCCAAGATGCAAGCTCTCAATGCCTTGACCCCGGAGCAGGAGTTCGCCTTGAGATGCGAGCAGGACTATGAGGAAGCAGTTCACTTGAAACTGGCAGAACGCACTTTCGTGATCCAATACAATGAGGGAAGAGATGCAGCCATCGAGCGCCCAGCGGGATCCAAAGCATGGACAACAAAGACGTGGTCTAACCTCCCTGGCTGGCCATGTCGATTGGATCAGTGTGCTTATGACACTAAAATTGCCGACCAGTATGTGAAGAAGCCTACAAGGTTGCAGCTCACAAGTGCTTCCATGGCAGACTACCTGGCTTGGAGATGTCCCGGAGATCATGAACACCTACCTCTAGAAGGGTCCTTGCCGGGACTTGGTTCATTGACCAAAGCTGCCGGAGCCTATCAGACAACCTTCTGCTACCACATTGGTGCGGCAATCGACTGCCTCTTCTATGAGCCTGAGGAATTTGCCCTGGAGGGTGGCGAATGGGACTTGGAAGACATGGGAGAGTATACTCCCTCAGTGGCTGGCACCGAACAACGAGAAACAGATGAGCCCAATCACGAACCGGCGCCTCCAGCAGAATCTGAAGTCAGAGTACAAAGCTACAAGGCTACTGGAGTACTTCAACGACTACAACGACAAGACCGCCAGCTAGCCAAGCGAACAGTGAGTCGACTTCACAGAAACCTCGGACATCCCACCAATGCAGAGCTCAAGCGACTCTTGGAGATGAAGGGTGCATCCAACGTCCTTGTTGAATGTGCACAAGAACATGATTGTGATGTGTGTCGTCAGCATCAACATCGACCACAAGTACCCGTCTCCTCAGTGCCGAGTGTTCAGGAGTTCAATGCCAGGGTCCAAGCTGACACCCTCTGGATCAAGATTCCAAACATGAAGAAAGCTCTTCCTATCCTGATGATCAGCGACACAGCAACGCGCTTTCTGGCTGGACGAGTGATCTGGAAGGAATCACCAGAGGAGTTCATCCTGGCTGTGGAAAGAGCCTGGGTGCGTGTTTTTGGACCAATGCAGACCCTACAGGTTGATGACCACAGGAGCTGGGCCTCAGACTATGTCAAGTCCTGGTGCTCGGAACAAGGGGTTGAGCTGAGGATCTCACCTGGACAGAGTCACACAAGACTTGCCATCCTGGAACGACGACATCAGGTGACCAGGCGAGCATTGGAACTATTTCTGGCTGATCAAGAGCAAGGCAACGTACTGCAGCCAGCAGAACCCCGTGAAAAGCTGATACAGGCCTTGTGCTATGTCGTTCCTCAGATCAACAGAAGCACCAATGTCCGAGGCTACAGTCCAGTGCAGTGGGTCTTAGGCTACACGCCACACATTCCCGGGTTGCTGACAGAAGAACCTCTGCCACCACCATCACTTGATCCTTCGGACGAGTTCCTGCAGAAGCTACAGAGGCAGAAAGCAGCAGCCAATGCCGTCTTCTCAGCAGATGTTGACACCAGACTGCGACGGGCAATGAACCGGAAGTTCGCTGGCCAGCTGACCGTGTTTCATTTGGGGGACATGTGCTACTACTACCGAGATGGACCAGGTGGCATAGGACCCAAACTACGATGGCGTGGACCTGCCCGCATCGTGATGGTTGAGCAGCTTGATGGCGGACCTCATTCCAACATCTACTGGATCGTGCATGGCACGAATCTCTTGAGAACAGCGCCAGAACATCTTCGACCTGCACCTCTGGAGAATTCTGGAAAGGCAGCTGATGATGATCCCTTCTTCAAGGCCCAGCAAGCCCTGCAGAACATTCGGAGCAGGGGCACGACACTCTACACCGACCTCACCAAGACGAACAAGAGACAAAGGCATGAAGTCTCCAGTGATGAGGAAGATGAAGAGTTCGATGACGACCACATGGCAGAAGGAGAAGAAGGGGAGGGGAATCCAGGATTGGCGGACTATTGGCAGGTCAGTGATGATCAGAAGACCTGGACCCGTGTACACAATGTTGAGCGCAAAGAACTCTTTGTGCCAGTCAGCACGGATGATGTCCCAGTAGACCGTTTCCGGAACCAACGTCTCACTGTCATCAGACGGAACCCACCTCATCCGGAACATCTTCGACTACGAGACGATTGGAGAACAATCGATGCTGGAAGGAACCTTCACTATCGGTGGACAGGCGCAACAACCTTCCAGATAGATGATGACGTAGAGACGGCTTCAGATGACACCTTCGAACAATTGGTGCGAGATGAACCGGAAGAACCTCCCGAACCAGAAGAGGGACCACCAGAGGATGATCAACCAAGAACGTCAGCATCAGCAATGCCACCACCGGCAAACCCAGCAGCTAACGCCCCAGCAGATGCTGCACTACAAGAACCACAGAACAACAATGAAGCAGGTGAAGTACCTCTGGAGGAACCAGCAGCACCAAGCAATGAAGCATCACCACAGGAGATGCCTCCAGCATCAGTCCCGGAACATCAGAAGAGGCTCTATGAACCGACCGCCAATGAGAGCTTCAGAAACCAGAGAAGCCGAGTTGACAAACAGGAGACCTTGTCTTTCTTGAAGAAGCCAATGGTGTATGGACCCATGAAGTCAGAGACTGCCCGGTCAACACCATATGATCAGGTGGCCACAGAGGACATGAACATGCAGATTGATGTGGATGTCCAGAAGATCGATGATCTACCACCAGGTTGGCACCTGGAAAATGGATGGCTCTGCCTGGACAGCCCCGAAGACGATTGGGTCATGGAAGGAAACTGGCTCATTAGAAATCACTACATCCCAAGAAAAGAGGCCTACCGTCCATCGGATGAAGAATGCCCCATCGACCTGAACTACCTGGTCAAGGAAAGAGTGTCAAGCACATCTCACGGCATCTTCAAGGACAGATGGAAGAGACACAGCCGAAATCCTCTTATCGAGGAGGCCTACTGGACAGGACAAACCAAGTTCAAGATTAAACCCAACTGGCGCGAACAAGCGCAACAGGACTACAAGAAAGCCAGCAACGGGTACAAGACTCTGAGAACACCGTCCGACAAGATTGCCAAGAAGAAGAAGGGCAAGGGCGAGGTGTTCGAAAGGTACATGAGTGTGGCCGACCGTCAAGCCTTCATCCAGGCGAAGATCAAAGAGCTGGAGAGCTTCTTTAAGAATGAAGTATGGCTCTATGATGAGGAGAAGAATGCAGACCCTGAACGAATCCTCAAGGCCCACTTCATCTTGACGTGGAAGAAGAATGAAGATGGCACACCACGAGCAAAGGCAAGACTCATCACACAAGGATTCAAAGACCCAGATGCGCTTTCCGGAGCTTTGTCCACCAATGCCCCCACTTTGACCAGACTGGCAAGAGGCTTGGTACTATGCATTTGCCAACTTTACAAATGGCACATGTTCACCTCAGACATCACGACCGCCTTTTTGCAGGGCAAGAATTTTGACAAGGAATCCAAGCGAGTGATCTGGATCCGATTGCCACGGGACGCCAAACAGCTTCTGGGCATGTCACCCGAGGAACCAACATTGATGAGATTGGTGAAGCCAATGTATGGACTATGTGATGCTCCCCGTGCATGGTACGAAGAGGCAACAGAACGCATCCTTCGAGTTGGTGAAGGCAACATCCAGCGACATCCACTGGACCCATGCCTCTTCATGGTCTATCGACCTCTGGGCCCTGAAAAGATGACAGATCCAATGGTGGAGCGAGAACTGGCCTGCATCTTTGGCATACACGTTGATGATTTAGTTGGTTGCGGTGATCTGCAAGACCCGTACTTCCATGAAGTCAAAGAGAAGCTAAAGAATGTCTTCACGTTCCGTGAGTGGCAAGAGGGCAACAACCTTGAGTACTGCGGGAGCCAAATCAAGAGTCTTTCTGAAGATGTCCTCGCCTTGAGCCAAGAGTCCTACATCCACAAGGTGAAGCCAATACCCATCGCCAAGGAGCGAGTGAACAGTCCTGACCTTCCAGTGACAGAACGAGAACGATCTCTACTACGTGGACTGATAGGTGGTTTGCAGTGGCCTGCCACCCAGAGCTCACCTCATCTACAAGTCGGAATTTCCCAGCTGGCTGGTGAGACTTCAAAGGCAACAGTGGCAACACTTCAGAAAGGCAATAAGCACCTGCGCTATGCCAAGGAGTATGCTGACGTGGGACTCCAGTACAGATGTCTCGGAGCCAAAGAAGACATGACCTTCATCGCCTACAGTGACGCATCCTTCGCAACAAGATCAGATCTGAGCAGCCAAGGTGGATACCTCCTGGCTATGTGCCACAAGGACGTCGCCAATGGCAAGTGTGAAGGGTACTACAATGTGATTGACTGGAGAAGCTGGAAACTACCACGTGTGTCAAGAAGCACGCTTTCAGCAGAGTCCCAGGCAGCAAGTGAAGCCGCAGATAGTCTCATGTACACCTCCTTGTTCTGGAACCTCATCTTCAAGGCATTGATGCCACTGGATTCCGTGAGCACTGGACATCTGCAGAACAGTCCCAAGCTCGTTGTGGATGCCAAGGCCTTATATGATGTCCTGGTGAAAGATGAGATCCAAGCAGCAACTGGAGCAGACAAAAGAACCGCCATTGAGGCTCTTGTGTGTCGAGACAAGCTATCATGCTGCAACGGAAAAGTCATGTGGGTATCCTCAGAGCTTCAGTACGCTGATGGTCTGACCAAGGATTCAGCAGCTGCTCTTCTTGGACAACGACTTCGATCTCACATGACGAGGCTGAAGAGTGACGAGACCTTCCAGGCTTCCAAACGGAAGAATGTGACCAACAGGAAGAAAGGTGAGAACATGTATGCCATCAGACGACCGGAGAGAGCATTGTTTGCAATGTTTTCAAACTACTTCCTGGACACCGTGAACGCTTTTGAAGAGAAAGATGGTAACTTCACGGGCACTATGAGCCACTACAAGGGGGAGGAACATGACTTGATTGACTATGTCTTGTTGATCTTGACGATCATGTTCATCGGCATGTTCACCTGGCTCTTCTGGAAGTGGACACAAGGTCCAAAGATTGTGATCCTTGAGAAGAAGTTCAAAGAGAACGAGGCTCAGACAACCCGAACCGGACTTGAAGAACAAAGGCTGGTAGAGCTACGCAAGGAGAACATCACCATCGCCAAGCAGAACCAGAGATTGAAAGAAGAGTTGGCCGTGTCGGAACAGGCACGACAGGACGCACAAAGAGAACTACGACTGCTGGCAAAAGAGCACCGCAAGATGAAAGAAATGCAAGAGGCAGATTTCAACCAGAAGTTCAAAGTGGCAGGACAACAGGCTTCCTTCAAGCCAGTCTATCTAGCAAGCCAAGGAGGCTGCTGGCATGCATCGAGGGCTTGTGTTGCTCAGAGGACCGCGAACCTGGTCTACGAACGACAGCCTTGCAAGGCATGTGCCCATTTGTTCTTTGACAAATGCACCCCGACAGCATCGGGCGAGGGTGTTCATTGGGTTGGCGGAACCCACGGCACGTTGTTCGGAGTAGCCACCTCAAGTGAAGACTGGTGAGAAGTGAGAGGCCGCGAATTTAGAATTTTCTTTTTCTGAATGATCTCCACCGATGTTGTTTGTGCGCCGCGCAACCCGGTAGATCAGACATTTGAACTGTGATCGCCGCGCTCGCCTCAAGCTCAGTGGCGGGTGCGCGCGCGACTTGAGCAATGGCTCACTGAAAATAGCGCGTGGCCGCGCTGACCGACCTTCGTGGACGAGGACCTCGAGAACCTCGTGACCGGTGATCGAAGCTTCGTTACCAACAGAATGTACTTGCAATGCTTCAGTGTACAGCTTTGAGGTGGTTCAAGAAGTTTCAATCAACGCGAATTCCGTGAATGGTTAAATCGAGGAAGACTGCTTCAGCAGACTGCGATTTGACAGGTGGTGGTTACATTGCAGTTCCAAACACAGGGAGGAGATTTTCGGATCCTGAGCAAAAAAGGTTGGGACGTTCTGGGCGTTCAGGATCTTTGATGAAGGTTGTAAAGTCTTTGATGAGCTGTGCAAGACGTGCATGCCTTGAACTGCCGATGTGTTACTGTTTGTGTCTCTACATGTGAGCTGTACTTGCATTGCACACTCTGCTGGTAACGCCACCAATGCAAAAAGAGGAAGGAGAAAGCCTGGCCATTGTGAAACATCCCCAGAACCACCAACCACCTACGTATATATATATATAAATAAATAGAAACAAACCAGGCAGAGACTAAAGAGTTTAGACGTGTATATAGGATACAGTTCCACGGTGCGGACAGATGAACTAGCTCGACAATTCAATCACAGAAAGTAATGGGTCCACGTTTTTACGTTTTTCCCTCGTCGGTTTCGCACGGATACTGTTCCCGTCCTGACTGGCATTTCCCCTTTGCCAAAACAATTCACTGTTGGTCAAGCTTGTCCCCCATGCAAGGACCACCCTGGGTGAAAGCCGAGCATCGCTTCCGCTGTTTGCGATGCCTTGGTGCACCGTTGGTGCTCAGGAAGGTGATGCCAAGACCAACAGCCGCTTCTCCCATGCGTCCCAGGCCTCGCACAGCACCAGCACCTTGGCACCGGCGACGCGGCGCATGTGTGGAGACACCTGCGCTGGTTGGATCCGAACACATTCGAACTGGGTAGGAACAATGTTCGCTACTAGGAGCAAAGGGCATCGCTACTAGGAGCAAGGACGCTACTAGGGGCTCCTGGCCTTACTAGTAGTAGCAAGAAGCTATTAGAAACAATAAGTAAATATATTTTTATTGGAAGCAAAGGAGGCTACAAGAGATGAATATCCTTCCTTTCTGAGAGCTGAGCCCTGTCGGATATTGCCTCCACAAACAAAGCTTCAGATCTTGATCCAGTTGTTTTGCTCGGTCATGGCAAAGAGAAGCCGAGGCCGCAGAGATACGATTCGAGTCCAGACGGCAGAAGAGCTTGGCGTGTCCTTGGAGGAGTGACCAGCCTGTGATTAAGATTATACTAACCACAGCTTGTCGCCTCCGAACTATATGACCTTCACGTGGACTGCTCCAATACCAGGGAGGGAATTGGATTAACGCGTAGATCACTGCCTCGAACTTAAGTTTTGCACATGCTCTTGGAACATACATGCCTTTTAATGGCTCTTGGATGTTTTCCAACTTGATCATTTGATTTGTTTTTTACGTTCGGCATGTTCAGGCTCGCCTTGTCCACTGACAATCCCCATTGGAAGTCCTTAGCCATCATTGCTTCTAGACAAACGCCAGCTGTACTGCAAGGTACCGGCAACAGTTGGCGCAAGCAAAACTCATTGGGGCGATGAAATTTATGCAGATGGGGAAGGTGGGCATCGATGCTTGCCACAAGCCACCAGCTCACAAGAGGTGGTTCAAAGACAAAAGCGTGTGAAAGGGGCAGGTAGATGTTCCTACATGCGGGTGTTGAGAAGCTTGGAAAGTGTGATAAACTGATAACGAGACATTTCAGTCTTCATTGGTTTGAGTTGATTAGTTGCGGAAGCTTGTGTAAGGTTCACCCGTCGGTCCTTCATGAATATGGAATGATCAATGATAGGACCCTCCCAAAGATAGGCTTTGCCGCCAGGCTTTTGAGTCATTGAATATTGAGAATCATTGAGACAAGTATGAAGCTTGTTTTTTTAGTAGCAAGCCCTTTGTTACTAGTAGCAAGAGTTTTCCTAGTAGCGATGCCAGGAGCCCCTAGTAGCGTCCTTGCTCCTAGTAGCGATAACCTTTGTTATATATAATATGAATCTTGTTTTTTAGAGGCTAAAGTTGGGCCTCTGTAGATGAGGGGTGTCTGTGAAAGCGATTAGCGAGAGTAGCAGTCAGCTTGGAAAACTGCAAAACCTCAGGCCTTGCAATGCACCTGAAATGATTTTCGTGACATATCATATACCCCCAAACACGCCCACTTGTTTAATCGTACGGAACCAACCAGACTATATGGGTAGATAAAGTTCAGAATCTTAAGATGGACTTAAATACAGACACAAAGAACACGGCTTTGCTACTAGTAAAAAGGGCATTGCTACTAGTAACAAAGGGCATCGCTACCAGGAGCAAGGACGCTACTAGTAGCTCCTGGTCTTACTACTAGTAACAAGAAGCTACTGGAATAGGAGCTTGGAGTCTTGGATGGTGGCTTGAGCAAGAAACCCTTTTCTGCGGCTGTGATGCAACCCTCTTCACCAAACTCAGCGCCCACTGGGCGGTTCATGGAGTGGGTGACATCAGGCCATCGTATGGCATCAGCTGATTCCTTCATGTGACATGCATCAGCACTTCCAAACCTGAGGAACCCAATTCGGTTTATGGTGCTGCAGTATTAATGCCTCAATTGGCCAGAACTGCACATTGGCATAGATCTTTCATACCCCATGCTCCTTGGCTCAATGGAGGCCTGAACTCCTGCAAACCTCGGTACAGAGAGCAAACTTTTGTGCGTGAAGAGCAATCTTCAGGTGTGGAACAGCTTTTTCTACCTCTTTGTTTGCATGTTTGTCCATGCGACCATGCTGATCTACGTGAGCAAAGAACTTCATGTCACTTGGCGATTGAGCTGTTGCTTCATTGCTTTTTGTTTCCTGGTCTTGTGGATTATTATGTTTGTTGGAAATCATCATGCATGAATGGTTTTGCCTTGGTTGACACGTTCTGTTTTTTGTTGCTGGCTCGGACCGCGACTTTTTGACCTGTTTTGCCAATTTGTTTGTCCAGAGCTGATTGATTGATGGCTGCATGTCATGAACCAAAGTGATATGCCCCAAACATAGACCAACCAAGTGATGCCAGCCAAACATGGACCAAGCGCAAACAATATCAGCAACCAGCAACCAAGCAATGTCTCAACAACACGGACCGAGGTCATGAACCTATTTGCAGGAGAAGAAGGGTGTGTGTGCGTGTGTGCGTGCCCGAACTGCTTGCTTGTCTCTGAATATCAGAACCCTGCAAACCACTGACCACCAAGACTAAGACATGCTAAGACTCTGAAGTTCACTGACACAGTTTGCCAAGCTACTTGACTTTGCCCAAGAGGACAGCCGTACTTGTGCGACTTCGGAGCTGACTTGCCAGCTTGCACCTTGGACGAGCAGTCGGAGAGTTCCTCGGACGCACTTCGAGTCTTTGGTTTCCAAACTGACGAAAGAGAGAACAGACTCGCCTGTTCGATGTTAGGTGGCATGTCTTGGAACACCAAGCTCATGATGTTTCTCCCACCTTGGAGCACATAGACAATGCTGTCTCTTCTGAATGTGTTGCCTCCAAGTTAGGAAGGTAGCGGTATAGGTAGAGCCAGGTAGAGTGTACTGTTGGTGGAAGCCGAGCAAAAAACAGAGAAACTTTAGTTTGAGTGTGCAGGAACAGGGAAGAAGAATGGGAATTGAGCAAGCCAACTCGAGTCGATGTAGATGGCTCTTCACTGTCAAGGATGTGTTGGTCCTTTTGGAACTCCTGTGACAGCACCGCGTTTATACTCTTGGAGCTGCTTGGACTGATTTGCTGGGATTGCGGACATATTCACCTGGTCTTTGCCCCAATGGATACCAGAGGCCAATGGGCATCCAGGAGCTTTGTACGAGATTCCATGGCGGCAATTTTTCCAGAGCAGGAAGAGGAGATCAGGACCCGTGCGCCCCGGGGGTGCCTTGCGTCTTCCTAATAGCGTCCTTGCTCCTAGTAGCGATGCCCTTTGCTCCTAGTAGCGATGCCCCGGGGGTGCATTGCGCCCCGGGGTATGTCAACGTGTGGACGATCTAGGGCGCCGCCCCTACCTAGCTCAGATATGCTCAGATGAAGAGAGGTTCGCGAGTTGTCAAGGACAGTGTCGAACGACTGCACATTTCTATCTCAAGATAGCTTGCTTGGAGGAAAGTGGCAGATCCCGGTGAATACGGTGTTGAAAGCTACTACTGCCGACTCTTGTGCTGCTTTGTTTTTGCCAGCGACTCAAATCCAAGTCCGGACCTGTCAGAAGAGTAGTTGCGAGACAGAGCCATTGAAGATAACCTGAGCAAGGCACGCCAGGCACCCCCAAAGATGAAACCAACATATTCACTTCGCGTTGTGAACTGGGCATATGCAGTGTCGGCTACAAACTGGCTGGATCTTGCTGGTCTTCGGTTGCCAAGGTCATTAGCATTACGCAGGACTGACAAAGACAGTTGCTCGATTCTGGATTTCCAATGCTTATATAGCTTGCAACTTACATTACAACAACATGATGTCAGGAACTGGACAATATCATCAAAATGATGAGATTGCTGCTGCTTGACGGCAGGAATGGCTGGAAGTTTGGAGGCTTTGTCGGCTGGCTCAGGTACAACATCCCTAACGAAGATCAGCCCTGGTTCATACTAGGCGAAGAGGCCTGGACTGGGGCAACCATAAGCAAAAAAATCCAGGCAGCCATGAGGATGCTTTGATGTTGCTTGAAGGAGGCTTGCCATCTAGGTTGGAGGCCATCGCTATTAGGTTGGAGGCCATCGCTAGCAGGTTGGAGGCCATCGCTGGTAGGTTGGAGGCTATCGCTAGTAGGTTGGAGGCCATCGCCTCTAGGTTGTAGGCCATTGCTGACACATCACGTTTGAGCAGCTCTGAGCAATTTTTCAGTTGTCTCCAGTGATTGCAGGATGAAGACGATAGCGACGAGAACATGGAGAAATGGTTAAACGAGGCTTGGTTCTGACAAACCGGTCGTTACACCGGGCGGTCGTGCCACGAAGAGTTGATGTGCCGGCAGGTTGAAATGAAAGTGGCTGGCATGTCAAGGACGGACGACATTCACATCATTCTGCATTCAAGATGGGATTTTGAAGAGGTTGGATGAAAGGGGGAGCCTGGCCATGCTTGCTACATCTTGCTACTAAGAGCTTATACATGGAGAATAAAGGATCATGAAGTAGCAAGTTACAAGCAGGTTACAAAAGTCTTAAAGCAAGTTTCAGGTATAGGACTCTTGGAGTCAAGCCGGGACAACTGAGCTTCGCAAGGAGTTGGAAGATGTTAAATGCGGGGGCCTAAGGACCTAAGTCTTTCACATCAAGGGGCGGTCCTCCTCGGGTCGGGTCGTTGCTGAGCGAGGTCTTTATGGTTCTTATTCCAAAGAGCCTTCTTTGGATCATGACAGCCAGCTGCAGCCCAAGTGCTTTTTGGTGAGTTTGAAGGAGTGTGGTGTAGCAGCGAAGGTGAATTGCAAGATGAGAAACGAAAGAAAGCCAAAAGGTTTCTGCGGAACATGCATGAAAGCGACAACATGCATTCGACCATGTCACAAACCTGCTAAGAAGTTGAATTCACTTCAGCCAGCCAGTGTGCACTTGCTTGGCCATTTGTCATCAGCATGCGTTTCTGTACATTCGTAATGTGGCCTGAGGCACGGGCATTAACTTTCTTATGGAGACTGGAGGAGACCCGGGGTTGGGGGGTCCCCCATTTCGCTTGCTCGAAGTGTCGAACTCTCGTAGCCTCAAGCCTGCTGAAGCCTGCTGGGTGTTAAAGCATGAATTACATCTTGAATTCCAATGTTTGGTATCGTTTGGCCGTGTTAGGTTCCAGATGTTGTGTACTCCGTCTGACGGGGTGGGGTGCCGTGCTGTTGCCACAGGCATTGATGACATCATAGTGAACTCCGTCGCCCTGGGCTTTCTCCTGCAATTGGATGAAATCATCACGGATGCCATGCTGTCGGACGAGGCGGATGGGCGATTCCCCATCGCGGTGGTTTTTGGGAGACGCGATGTGGATGTGGCATGCCTTCATAGTTTGGGCATCTTTGGGCAGTATGCATTTTTGATGTAAGATCTTATCACGAAAGGAAGCCCTTCAGGGGATACCTTGAGTTTGTCTTGCGAAGCAAGTGTGGGCTCCTCCGACAACAAACAGCAGGACTACGGGACACCGAATCACGATGTTGCAATGACCCTTTGGCCAAAGTAGATTGGAAGCAGTTGGAGGGAAACTGATGCTCCCCTTGCGAGTCAGTTGGGAGCAAAACTGAAGATCAAAAGCTCCCAACAGCGCCCAGCTTTAGATCTGACACGGTATTTGCTTTTGTGGTGAAAGTCTTTCTGAAAGTCCTAGTGTAAAGGCAACATCACATCTCTTTTGTATCGTCCAGCAATGCAGCAGATCGTGCAGACAGCAGGACCTAGACCTAGACGTGGTGAAGCAACCTCAAGGATTCTCTGGAATTGGGTTGTGTCATGGTTGGGTCAGGTCAACCACCTCCTAGATGAGTGCAAAGCCTGCGCCTTAACGATGGGGCCGCGCCCGAAAAAAAGACCTTGGGGCGGGAGAGCTGGCGAACGGCGCCGAGGAGTTCCCCTTGTATCAAGAAGGAGATCTCCACACTCACGGTGACCAGGAGACGTTGCCTGAGCCTGAGATACCGCTGCGACGTCAAAGGTAGCGCGCGAGGCCCCTTGGATTTGCTTCTGCGGAAGGTTGACCAAGTACGCGCCAGCGAGGTCAAAGTTACAAGCCTGGGCACCTGGACATCTTCAGCTTCTTTGGGAGATGATTCCGAAGGTCATGGCCGGACACTTGGGATTGGATGAAGGGATGGCGAAGTCTGAAACATGAAATATGTGGTTTTCGCAACATGCAGACTCAGCTCCTTTGGGCCACCAGAGCTCCAGAACTCAAAGCTGGCCGGCAGCTCCCAAGGTGTTTTGTTCGACCTTGCTCTACTGCTTGGTGATGCGCTGCTTGGCATGGATCGCACCTGATGGGGATGTTGCAGCTGAGAAACACCAGGCCAAGATTAAGATGTTGCAGCTGGGCATCCATCAAACATCTTGACCAATGTCACACAACTGCTCACCAGCCGAGGCTACTATACACTCCATTGTGTTCAAGTTGATGGCAAGTGGGTTTCAAAGGCAGGGTTGTTTGGGCGCCTCTTTGCACTTTTCTCGAACGCTGCACTTTTCTCAAGCAGGACATGCACTTGCCGAGCTCCTTAAGTTTCTCCTTGGTGCCTGAGCTGATCCACAGTGTCTTGAGACCATGCGCGGGAGCATCGTGTAACATCCCGGAGAGAAGACACTTTAGTTTAACGCCAAGGCCAATGCGCTCTCTCTACGCTGGTTCCCTGTGGATGCGGCTGAGAAGCCTTATTGGTCGATGAGTTCATGAGTGTCACACAAGGCACTCAATGTTAATGTCCTGACTCTTGGCTAAGACAGATGTAGCGATTTGGCCATTTGAGAACTCTTCAGGCATATCCATGCATTTCCATTTCCAACTGGATTTTTCCAACTTGATTTCCAGCGCGAGCCTTGAGGAAGCGACTGAAAGCCGAATTCGCAGATTGTGCCAGACATTGGCAGGTTGCAGCTTGTGCCCTCAAAGATAGGGACTTGACATCGAGGTTTCACGATGTCGTGAGCCGCAAGAGCTGAAAAGGTACACCTCGAGATCTGCCAAGTCTCGGACTGCGATCTGATCGCAGTGAGAGCTAACCCACCTGTGGACCCTGTCGCATGGATTCTCCATGTTGACGCCCTGACGCTTCCATACCCCTGTTTGCTGCTATGCTTTTCATGAGGAACCTTCACTGGGGCTGACCAGAAGAAATCAGTTGTGTCTTTGTTGGTTGCCTGGTCGCCTGCCTTCGGACCAAAAACGCACGGACATCCGCCGTCATCCGCCATCATCGGCCATCATCCGCCATCATCCGCCCAACAGCTGTTGAAGACCTCGACGCTTTGAAAACTCTTGAGCACTATCACGTCAGAATCGACGAGGGCAGAGCTGGTCACGGACCACAGTGGCAAAATCATTGTTCCCTGCCATGCGAATAAGCATTTCCAGTCTATCGCGCGAGTCATGCTGGCCCTTGTCGAGAGAGTCCAGAGCGTGTCAAGCTTCAGTCGTTGATGGATCCCAATTCCCATCAGCATCATCAGGTAGTCCTCGTTCCAATACAGATTTTATCAGCATTGTTCATTGTCCCATGCACCTTCGGACACCCAGCGACTCGATTTTCTTGTCGAACCGGGGTGTCAAGATTCAGTCTGTGGCTTGGCCATCGCACCCTGTGCTCCTTCCTCGAAGTGCATCTCTTTGTCGACCAGAGGTTTGCGATGTTCAGCTGTGGTGTGGAGCTTTTGGAAGGTGCTTGTTGGCAAAAGGATGTGAACACTTGCATGGATTGCCCGCGGGTACGCACGAGAGAGAGAAACTTGCACCAAAATTCCTCAACGATGTCTGCCTTGCATGTATAGTGCGCAGAGACAGGAAAGTCCTTGTTCGATCATGGCGAACCTTCCCCAAGGTGGCCTGTGCTCATAAATCCAGTTGCGAATAAGCAACTTCAACCTGAATGAAATGGATTGCCCTAGGGTCCGCCTGGACATCTAGGCAGCTGTGCGACGTTTGTTTGGCAACCCGACACATGTTCTTTGATGATCGCTGTGCCGCTGTTCATTATTTTTTTAATGACACCGTCTGTTCAGATCTGGTTTCAGCCGACATGGCGGCATGACATACCGTGCCAAGGAGTAGTAGCAGATTCCCCAACGTGGGCAGTGTTTGGGATCTCTTTCTTTTTAGTAATGACGCTCGTTGTCGCTGGCCATGTGCAGCTACATGTCTCGCTACACCTGATTCCCTTCAATGCGGTGTGCCATGCAGTGATGTGATTTTTTGCCACCTGCTGTGACTTCGACTTGTGTAAACCCAGCGCTTGTAGCCAGTTCTAAGCTACCGCGCAACAAAATGATCCGCCCAAAGTTGTCCTGGAGGGGAGCGTGGCCAAAATCACAATAGAGTTGGACACATTTCACGGCGTGGGCGGGAAGAGAATTGAACCCCTTCCCACACAAGAAGGGTGGGTGGGCTGAAACCGATGGAAGGGTTTTTGCCACACCGGAAAGCGTAGGAAGCCTCACCGAGTTTGCAGCACGCGGGCGTTGGCCTCACTGGATGTGTGGCGAGGCAATTTGGCAATCCCAACCTGAAGGCGTTGCGAGGTGAGGCGTTCGCTTGTGACGCTGAAAAGAAACGTTGCTTGTGACGCCGAAAGCTTGTGATGCCGATTTGCCCGTACCACACCCCACCCCACCACACCCATGATGCTGGTGATGCTTTTTGTGTAGGCATTTGCGTGCTGTCCGGGATTGATTTTGCTACTGAGCAACCCGTTTTGTGTGCATTGAGCACCCCGCCCAGTCTGTGATGCTGGTGTGGCACCTCATCCCACCCCACCCCATGTTTCTTGTTTTGGGCCCCCATTCGCTGTTGCTTCATGGATTGTTACTACTGTTATGCTCTTACGCAATGCATATGACCCGGCCATTACGTTTGGCTGATGGTTCATCTTGTGCGATATAAAAGCCGCTTAGCTTGCCTTCGCTCGCACGCTCTTGTGGACCTTGCTAGCCTGTAGGTCGAAAGTGTTGCGGTGTACATACTGTCTATACAAGCGGCTGGCTGACATTTTGGAATGCTAATCTACATTGGTGTTAAGCATGCGTCAGCATCTCTGTGTGAAAAACACTGCCCTCCTTCTCCCCGACAATACGCCGAACATTTCACCACATTACTACAACCGCCCGAATTGTGTGTGGTGGCTGGAACCCTAAAGGTGTGTCCCGCGCGCGTATACCCGTGCGTTTGATCCCGATGCTCTCTACATTGACGAGGCACAATGCTGAGTTCAAACACAGCATCTTGCTCAATGCCTAGGTACAATTTGATGCGTTATCCTACAAACATAAGGTCGTCCTTGTCCTCGGATCCGGCTGAGAAGCCCTTTCTTATATTGGCAAATATTGTGGGTTCAACGTGGTTGGTTCGGTTGCTTGTTTTCAAAGCAGAATACCGCAAACTATTACGTACTATTGTTGGGCCTCCTGGAGGGATGTCTTGGGAGCAAGAGTGGCACGAAATTCTACATTGCTGGAACGTGCGGGCTCAACGATTTGCTGATTCCTCCGGCATTGTTGCTTGGCCGACACTATGTCTCCGCCAGCACTGGTTACTGGGTGGCTATGTGGCCCGCTTACCTGATGACCGCTGGGCTCGACGAATCTTGGACTGGCGCCCCCCGGGCCGCAGGAAGTTGGGACGACCGACCCACACTTGGGAAAGCTAATTCGAAGAGTTCTGTCGAGCGTGTGACTTGGGAGATTGGAAGCCAGTTGCGGCCGATGCGGTATTTTGGAAGAATATGACAGATGACTTCGTCGGATACTGCCTGAATCGATACAATTGCGCAAGTCTCACAGTTTGCCGCTTCACCCCGCCTGCGCCCTAGATGGGCTGCCCCCCCCGGACATGCAGGCACAAAGTCAAAATCAAGTTGTCTCCTGCCATGGACCATGGAACGAGCTAAAGGCAGCCATCCAAAGACTCAAATCTGGGAAGAGTGCGTAGTGGACGAATTATTGGACCACTCGCCGGACGAATTGTTGGTGAAACTTTTGTCCCTATAATGCATTATTGTATTCAGGCGATATTCCTCCCACCTGGAAAACGACTTTGTTCACGATGCTTGCGAAAAAGGTAAGGGCCACACTGCCATGCGACGCCCGGCCAATCGCCAGCATCCGTGTTTTGTTCTTGGGACGCATCATAAATCATAAATATATTGGACTCGCACCAGCCAGAGGAACAACATGGATTTCGTCCTGGTTACTGCATATTTGTTCCTGGACAAGGCAGCGCGTGCAAAAATACCAGTTTGGATTGTGAGCTTGGATTGAAGCAAGGCCTTCGACTGCGTTGATTGGAAAGCATTATGGGACGCACTTCGTTCACATGGTGTGTCCGCGAATTACATATGGTTGTTGCAATGCTTCTTGGGCCCACGTTTGTTTGGGATTTTCTCTGGGCGCACTTGCCGTGTTTACTGGATCTTCGCTTTGCGGATGACATCATTCTTTTTGCGCGAGACGAGCGTGAGGCAATGGCACTACTGGAATCATTGGTGTCTGCGCTGGGCAAGACCGGACTGCGCTTGAACGTGGCAAAAAAAATTTCACATCAGAGGCGCAACCGCCCGCACAAATGGTCACAGCAAATGGCGATTCCATCGAGGTCATTGGCAGACTTGAGGCCCACAAATGACTTGGTTGCATGTTGTGCGCTGGTGTGTTGCTTCTGCATGCAGACACAACTTTGCTTGAGACGACAAAATTGTCAAACACAAACATACAAGCAAAATCAAGCAAACATCCGCCGTACCGCTGGCGCGGTAACGCTTCCAATCCTACCAGCCATAGAACACCGTATAGACCTCTTCAGCTCCGGAAGATGGATTCTGACCCTGAAGCGCGACAAGGACGGTAAGTTCTTGAGGTCGCTTGACTTAAGGAACCTAGGTCTCAAAGATGTACCCCGTAGCGCATGTGTGCAAGATGGGTTCCACATCAAAAAACGCCAAGCCCCGCGTGAAATAGGCAAATTGGCCATGTAAGATCCCAGTTGCAGGAAAGCAAGTTCGCCAATGAAATGAAGTGGGCTACTTGCTGGTTCCACAAATGTAGGATTTCATGCCAAGGCTGGTCCCATCATAGCTCCAAACCGCTCTCCGCGCTTGTGTTCTTTCGCCTTCCAATTCGTGCTTGCCTGCGCCTGCCACGAAGTCTGCGCATGGAGGTTCTGTGCCTGCCACGAAATCTGCACCTGGAGGTTCACACAGTGCTGCGCCTGAAATCTGCACATGGAGGTTCACAAAGTGCTGCGCCTGCCGCGAAATCTGCACATGGAGGTTCACACAGCGCTGTGCCTGCCACGAAATCTGCACATGGAGGTTCACAAAGTGTTGCGCCTGCCACGAAATCTGCACATGGAGGTTCACAAAGTGCTGCACCTGCCACGAAATCTGCGCCTCGAGGTTCACAAAGTGCTGCGCCTGCTACGAAATCTGCACATGGAGGTTCACAAAGTGCTTTGCCTGCCACGAAATCTGCACATGGAGCTTCACAAAGTGCTGCGCCTGCCACAAAATTTGCACATGGAGGTTCACAAAAGGCTGCGTGACATGCCGCGCTCATCCAGCGTGCAGGGTCCGCAGATGCGCGAGCGGACCAGATGGAGACAGACCCAGAGGCACCTCCACCCGCTCTAGCGGGCGTGCCTACTGAGATTGACCCGGAAGCCACGGATGTTGTGCCCGCTCCGATGGACATTCCAGAAGGAGTTCCGGTATATCCGATGAATACCGGTGATTCAGAGTCGTTTCCGGAGCTTCTACCTGATGACCACTATGAAGCAGTACCTCCAACGGTACCGGTGACGGGACCTATTGCAAAGCCAGGCCATCTGGCCGAACAGGCAAAAGCAAGTGCTGCAGTACGCAGCGGGGAAATCTCAGATACACCCAGCGATGAGGTGATTGAGGCGGAATGGTGCCGAACCTCAACAGCTGAATCCGCTCTAGCGGATGAAGACGTGCCTA